TACTGCAAAAGGAGAAATAAAAAAAATAAAATTATACCAATTTCATAGGATTATACTAAAGTAACATACAGAAGGCACTCAGCACAGAGACCAGTAATATTTGTAAAATGTAGGTTTTTAGTAATCACAATGGATATGATCATTTCACATAAAATGGTTTTATAAACACGTTTGTAATTTTTATAAAATCATTATTTTATCAACTTACACGCAATTTTATCCACTAAATCTGTTTTATTAAATTATGCTCCTGTGCATATATTACTTAATCAAATGGTATGAACACTTTTTCATGAACTGTTATTTTTTATTTTATATACTATGAAATATGAGTTGAAAATGCAAGGCTGAATTTAATACACAGTTAAGAGTTAATCTAACAACCAAATTTTCTGCCAACTTGTCAGCAACCAAATATTTCAGAGAAAATAAACTTTGGCACATTTTCTTTCTTTTTTAACTTGTTTCAGTCTATGTAACGGCTTGTCTCACAGAAAGGAGCGTGCTGGAATAGGTTAGACTTTCTTGCTATAGCAAGCTCAAATTGTGACAGACTGTTTTGATAATCTGTCACAGAGTGTTTGCTTGCACATTTAGCACATTTTCAAAGGTACACTAATCTACGTTACAGTCTGGTTAAAACAAGGCACAGGGGACCTTTAATGCTTTAGTTAGCATTAAACACTACTATTCTGCTGGAAGAAATACTACTGATTCTACTATCTTATTGGGCCATTGTAAACTAATTTAGTCAGAACCTTTCAATGAAGATGATCAGTTATGTAAGTCACTTTTGAAAAGGTATTGGGTTTTATATTTGTGTATTTCCCCTGAACAACTTCTTTTCCCAAGTAACAGGGGTTGTTCAGGCAAAGTAACAATATACCATGCTAAAACACTCACATATCACTACTCTCTGCAATTAAACAACATTTCCCAGTCTCCCTCCAGTTAAGGTGACCGTGTAAGTAGGTCCTGGCTGATGAAACATAGCAAGAGTTATGTATGCCTTTTATAAACATGATTTATCTTTTTATACATTTATTTTTATATGTCTTTCATAAATAGCTTTTATCTTTTTCTTATGGCCTTCTTCCATCTTATTGCATGCAACTGAGAGAAGAGTCATTAGTCCCTTGGAACCACACATCAGACCCTCCTAGGCCAAAGGGTGTCACATAGCTGACTTGAGCATTGGCTTCCAAAATCCTTGGAGATCCAGCACATAACTGAAAGAGGCAACCTATTCTGGAGACTCTATCCCTAGACTACAGAAGCAGAAAGAACTCTTCTCCCATGCTCAATGTGGCCAAGAAAAAAGAGACAATCCAAATAGCTTCTATGGAACCAATGACACCCTAGAATCTAGAAATGTCCCATTGTTCTTAGACCTAGTCTTGGCAAACTGGGACTCTGGGCAAATCCACTTCATTTCTCACGTACTTACCTGACTTACTCTGTAGGGTATTACAAACAGATAAAACTATAGATATTAATGCATCTAATTTACAATGGCATCAAAGTATGAAGGTGGCTAATAATTACAGACACATTAAGAAAGTGCAGAGTGGCTGGAACACAAAAGACATTTAGGAATCTGTCTGGAAGACATACTCATAAAAACATACGAAAGTGTATAGTAGGCACAGTATAGAACTATATAGAAGAAAAAGTAGTGCTAAGTATGGTACATCTATCAATGGTGTTATGTATGGAAGTAGCTGCCCCAGAATTAAAAACAAAAGTGGGTAAAAGTGATTAATTCTAGTTAAACAATATGATGGCAAAAAAGTAAAGAGTGGAGGTGCAGGCCTGTGACTCCCAGCAGTCTGGGAGGCAGAGGCAAGAGGATCACAAGTTCAAGTCCATGCCAGGCAATTTTATGATTTAGCAAGATGCTGTCTCAAAAAATAAAAAAGGCTGGAGATGTAGTTCAGTATAAGGTCCTAGGTTTAATTATAGTATTGCAAAAAGAGGACAGAAGAGGGAACAGTGAATAAAAGATGTCCACACTTGGGAAATGGAAGGCAGATGGAGCATGCGGAAGAGAGCAAGAAATTGCCTACACTCCATGAGGGGGAAGCCTATGGAAAATCCTAGCACCCTGGACTAACTCAGAACTTGGACACAAGAGGAACAGAATTGCCAGATTTTGAGATGTCAAAAGTGGGGTGACAAGTAGGCCTGAAAGCATGGAATTAAACGGTAACATCTTCAGAACATTTTCCTTGATTGACTCCAGAAATAGCGGTGCCAAGGTAAAAGTCTCCTATGAAGAGAGGAATTTTCTCTAGAAAAACTCAAGACACCCAAAGAAAATATCTGTAAGGTATAGCACAAGGCAGTTAATCAGCTCTTTAATGCTGCATGTTTAAAGACAACTATCAGATACTTTTGACCTAAAAGAGCAAGCAAATAAGCTGAAGAATTTGGAGGAAATACAGGAAAGAAAATGTAAGAAAACTAGAGAATCAGCCCAGAGTCTGACATCTAAATGGCAGGAGTTCCAGAAAAGAGAAAACAGAAATACATATTACAGAAATATTTCTAGCAAACACTTCAAAATTGAAGGAACCAGTATCAACTGTCAGGTACAGCACCCAAAACAAAAGGGAAAGATCCTAAAATTTCTAAGAAAAGCCAGAAGTGGTGGCACATGCCTATAGTTCCAGCACGCTAGGCAAAAAGATCACAAGTTTGAGCACAGCCTGGGCAATTTAATTTAGGGAGACCCTCTCTCAAAAAATAAAATAAAGGGCCTAGGATATAGATCAGTGTATGTGTCTTGGGTTCAATCCCCAGTACGGAGAGAAACTTTTTAAATAGCAAACTGGGGGAACTGGCCAAACCTTCTTGTGAGCCAGCTGCTATGTGGGCTGGATATAAGAAGTGCAGAGCCCCACGCCACCCCACGCAATCTGCTGATTCAGAAAAACACAGATTGAGATGATAGCTACTGAAGTGAAAAAAACAATTTAATGCCTGTATTGTTTGACTGACATTGCAGGCCAAAAGCCAGTAGTTTAAACATCTATTTAGAGGATAACAACATGCAATAAAACAACTATGGGCATTTTCTTCTGAAACAGGTAGCCATTGTTAATTCCCTATTATCTTGTTTTAAAGTCCTATAACATTTTCATTGTTTTGTTTGATTTTATTGTATCTGATGGCATAGACAGTTATTTAAAGCTTTATTATGCTAACTATTGTGATTTCTTATTATCTTGTTTTGAAGTTCTGTATCACTTTCACTGTTTTGTTTTGATTGGCTTTATTCTGTTTTATTTTGTTTGGTCTATTCTCTTTATGATAAAAAGCCAATAAAGCAGAATCATGGCCAAAAAAAAAAAAAGGCAAGCTGGGAAGACAGAAGACCACAGAGTAAGGCCTTCAAAATTTTGAAGTATAACCTGTAATCTAAAATTCCATACTGACTCTCACCACTAGTCTATGTAATGAATCTAGATAAGATAGAATGAAGACTTTGAAACAGGTAAGAATTTATAAAAACCTACTTATGCATGCTTTCTTAGCAAGTTTCTTAGGAAGCCAATACTATGAGAATAAGAGAGTAAATGAAGAAGATATGGGATCAGGAGGTAAGCAAAAGGAGTCCCAGAAGGTCCAGAGCAAGAGACAGAGGCCACATAATGATGTCTCAGAACGAACAAACAAACAGGAAGCCATCTAAAAACAAGTCGGATGAGTTTTCCAAACACGGCAGTTTGGGAAGAATAAGTAAGCAATAAACCAAATAAAAGCAATTAACTAGTTAGTCAAGATCAGACTTGTATTTGTGTATTGTACTTGTCACCAATGAACAATAAAATAATCACTAAACATTGATTTAACAATTATGTATGATGCGTCTATACTGGGAGGAAGGTGTAGGGGAAAGTGGGGGTGTTGAGAGAAGAATGCTAACTTAAATTCTTCTGTAACGCTGTCAGCACAAAATACTATATAAGTCAATAAATCATTAAACAATACTATAAACCTACATTTAAAGATGGAGACAAATATCCACAGAACTAAAAAGTTTAGGAAATAAAACTCCATAACGTGGTAGGAGATTGTACTCTTGATTTACTCATTACTAATAACAATTTTAAAAAAAAGGAGACTATATTAAGAATTAGGGTGAAGAAAAGTTTTAAAAAAGTTATGTGTGCTTCTTTATCATTTGAAGTATAAGAAAATGCACATACTTTAATAATTTAGGAAAGGAAAGGGGTATTTATGTTGTCACAGTTTAGCCAAAGGCAATAAAAACTGGGACAGAAAGTAAGATACAGAGGAGAATAGCTATGTAATTTAACAAAAGAAAACTTATAAAACTAACCTATGGAAAGATTTACCTTCAAGATGCAGTAATTGGCCTCAGTAAGTCACTTAGTGACAGATTAAATTTGGGAGGTACAGATTTCTAAGATAATTTCAGATTACGTATGTAATCACCTTTGGAAGCAACTGAATTACTATTTTGTTTAGCTTGCAAATTAGCTGGCTACCTGCTCTTTTCTATCAAATGCAAATGGTTAAGAAAATTCTTAATTTTTATTCCTGGTGTTACTGCAGTCTCTAATCACATTTTCCCTTTAACAGACTCAAACTTTGTTTTAAAAGATGAGATATTCAATATACATTTGGCATTATGCTTATTTCAGGGAAACATTTGAATGTACTATTTTGAAATGACTACTTCTGACAAACCTTGAACACTGAGCGTGACTTATCACTCTTTGTGGATAGTTAGAAGTATTCTTTGGAAGAGTTCCTGAAAACCAGGATTTAGCTGCTTAAGCCTGAAGTGTAATCACAACTGCCTAACAGTAAAATGAGGTAAAGACTTACTAAAACTCACAGGTGAATTCGTGTTTCTACTGTCCTGTTACTGCTTAAAACAAGCCAGATTTTTGCTGTTTTTTCGTGTCACACTGGACACAAAGATAAAAGTAGCTTAGCAGCAAATGACTAAGCCACGCAACCACCTTTACCTTGACTCGTCTCCGTTTTCTCCCTTTTTCCTCCCCAGGCACCTGCTTCTCTCCTTTCTTCCTCTTTTTCCGCTTTCTGTCTTTGTGTTTATCATGATCGTTTTTGTCTTCGAAGAGACTCGAGTCGTGTCCAGAGCTACCCGTGGATAACTCGGTGACCTCGTTCCCTCCCACTTTCAGGACCAACTTCAAAGGCTTCTCCACATAGTCTGGAACAAAAAAGGGGGCGCCCGGGTTACAAGAGGGTTCCGCCGGGCACTGCCGACAAGCCAGGGACCGTCGGCCGCGGGCACGTGTTGAGTGACAGACGCCTGGCCGCCCGGGGCGGGCTCAAGACCCCACTGAGGACACCCGCCGCGGCTGGGGACCCGGGTTCGAACGCCGCCCGCCAGGGCTCTGAGCGGCGTCGGGCGGGCCGCTCTCCTGCTCCGGTCACGACCTGCGGCGGGAGGGGACGGCCCGGGTAGGGTGAGGCTCACTTCGAGACCTGACGCCGCGCAGCTCTACCGCGCGCTCCTCACCCTCGTACAGGTGTCTGTCCGACTTATGCTTCTTGTGCTTCTTGCCCATATCCGACCGGGCCCCGGTGCCCGCCCCCCGCGCCAGGCCCAGGCCGTGCGGCGCCGCTTCCGGTCCGGGCCAGGCGAGAGGAGGGCGGGAGCGGGGCCCGCGAGACCCAGCGCCGCGAGGCAGGGGTACGGCGCGCGCCCCGCGGCGCGAGGCTCCTTAGGAGAACACGCGCCCTAGACGCTGCCGTAGCCCGGCAGCGGCGGCAGCGGCGAAGGCAAGCGATGAACGGCGAGCGGCTGGCGCATGGGCGGGAGAGAGGGGCTGCGGCGCGCTCCAGGTCACGGCGTCTGCGCGTGGTGGCCCCTGGTGGCTGGAGGTGGCGTTACAGGCTGCGAGCCGAGGAAGGGGCCGGGTCTAGGGGCGGGGCCTATCGCTCTGAATCCTTTTTGCACCTTCCCTCTTTCCTCTTGTTTTTCCCTTTGCTTCCTTGCTTCCTCTTCCTTCCTCGTTCTCTTTCTTCTTCTTTTTCTTCCCTCTGTGTTTTCCTTTTGCCCTCTCTTTTCTATTTTTCTTGACTTTTCCTTTTTCTACCCTTCCTCCTTCACTGATTTCTCCCTTCTTTCTACCTTCCCTTGTTTGTCTGTCTTCTCCTTAACAATATTGAGCCCTTACTGGATGCCAGATTTAGCATAACTAGCTTGAAGGACACTAAATTAAAAAACAAGCCGGGCATGATGATGCACACCTGTAATTTCAGCACTCTTGGAGGCCGAAGCAGGAGGGAAGAAAGTTCAAGCTTAGCCTGGGCAACTTAGCAACTGAGTGAGACCCTGTGCCAAATTAAAAAAAAAAAAATACAAAAAAGGGTTTGAGATATAGTTCAGTGCAAAGACCCTGAGTTCAAGTCCACCCCTTACTCCGCCCACCACTGCAAAACCAACAAACAAAACCTACAGAAACCTTATGTAATGATAAGGCCACCAAGATCTTAGTTAAAAGCAACAAGGATGTATGCCAAGCAGTGTTTCGTTGTTTAGTAAGATCTATTCGTGAAAGTAAGTGTGGACCTCTGTGTGACAAGGTTGTGAATGGACACAGGAGAACTGCTTAACTGTGGTCACCTTGGGGGACTAGAGCTGGAGGAGAAATGAATTATTTTAGTTCTATGGCTCTCTATTGTTTGAAACAAATTTAATGTGCATGAGCTTTTCAAAAAGGAAGAAAAAGATAAAATTAAGAAATTAGGTTAGTTAAAATTAACAACAGAGAAAGAGATAAAAATGTCACTCTCGAATTTACATCAGGTGAGCATTCAGGCTGACTCTGTTACCATATAGATTGATGTCCACTATTGCAACCTTCTGTTAAGTCCTCATTCATTCTTAAGATTTGGAGACCATGTGGAGTAATGAGTTATTCACGTTTCTGTTCATTGGTATTGAACCACAACTACTGTATTAAGATGTGCTCATTGTAGCATATCCAGGGATGTCATTTATGGGAAACAAAAGGATGTCAAGATTTTTCAGTATAACAAAGCTTGTAAAATAGGGAAGTCAGTAATATTCTTATTCCCTTTTTATATAAGGGGAAATGCATTTCCAGAGATGTGAAATAGATTGCTAGTTAGTGTTAAGGATTCAAATCCAGATTTTCTGGGTTGCAATCAGAAGTCCTTTCAACATATGAACATGGTAAAGCTCTTTTGAATATCTGTACTTTTAGCTCTGTAGTGCCCAGTGTATTTTCAAATAAGCTCATAATTATAACCTTCTCTTACAAAAAGATCTAATACCAGTCATTTATAGTTTAATAAGAACAGGAAGATTTGTAGCTTTATATTGAACTCAGTGATGGCTTACAATTTAGGATCCTATTGTTGGCAAATGATAGAAACTCAATTTGAATTTTTGCAAGTTAACAAGAAGAGATTTATTCATTTACATGTCAAGAAAGGGCAGGAATAAAGCTTGCCTGAGGGAAGATGAGAACAAAGAATTTGATGCTATTCTCTCTCCCTTTCATCTCTGTCTATATTTTTGTGGTAGTTTGAATCTTCAGTGTCCCTCTGGGACATGTGCCCAGCTGATGGCCTTTTGGGAGGTGACAGATACTTCAGAAGGTTTCGCCTAGTGGAAGAAAGTTAGGTTGTTATGGGCTTTCCCTTAAAGTGAGAATAGGGATACAGACCTCTTTCTCTCTCTTGTAGCTTCCTGGTTGTCATGAGGTAAATGGTTTTCCTCTACCATGCACTCCCATCATGGTGTCATACCTCACCAGAGGCCCAAGGTGATGGGGCTGAGTGACCATGGATTTAAACCTCTAAACTGCGAGCCAAAACAAACCATTCTTCCTTATAAATTTATTGTCTCAAGTATTTTGTCACAGTAATGAAAAGCAGACCAACAACGCCTCCCCCATGTGACTAGAAAAATAGCTACTAGCTGCTTCAGAAATTTTATACTGTCCTGACCACTCAGGGAAAAATTCTCTTCCTTTTCAGCTTAGAAAAACCTCAGGGAAGGAACATGATTGGCTCACTTGGAACACATGTTTCATAGGGGGCGGTCAGCTTGGGTACCAAGTCCAGCCCTGTGGCTGGGAGGAGTAGGGGCTATGGATGGCAGTTCCTATAAGGTCCCTGTGGTTAGCCAGGGAAGAAGAGCTCCCCTTGTAAGAGCAGTGTTTTTTTTACAGAAGCTAAGTTTGTATCTATTACTTCCTTGTAATAAGCTTCTTTGGCATCTGAGGTAGAGGTCAGGGAAAGAGTAGATACATTGGATAAGTGAACCTCTGCTGCTCTGAAATCAAGCCATAAGGTCCTCTTTTTCAACTCTCAACTGTACCTCATTTTGCTTTGGGAACTGGCATGCCCACCCCCTCTGTGGTCAGGCTTGTGCTGTAGCATATTCACTCCAGGCTGGACTTTGTGCATATGCCCATCTGCCCTTATCACTCTGCATGCTGCCCAAGGACAGGATCTGGTCCCATTCTGCTTGGTGCCTACAACACCCAGCACAGTGAGCACTACTCTTCACATGTCCCTCAGAGCTATTTCTCCCCCCCCCACACACCTGCCCTGCCACCCTGTGACAGAGGAAAATGATCTTGTTACCTCATTTACACTATGGACTTAGTAACTTCCTGCCTTGAGAGCAAGCCTAATAGGTCACAGAGTGTTCACAGCGGTGCAAAGAGTAAGAAGAAGGAAACGTGTCTCAGAAAAAGTGCCCAGAAGATAGGGACCCCAATTTATGCCTTCTGGAATTTCTAGCCCTAGTCCTATGCCTACCACAGAAGGTACCAGAAAATGTTAGTTGAAATTGCACTCTACAGTGACCTCAGAGTCCTGTTTCCTGTCATCCACGCTCCTCCTTATTGAGTGCAATTTGTTTCTAATAATAGGATGCAGCAGAGGTGATTAGGTTAATAAGGTCATGGCTGTCATTTCCGTGATGAGGTTACGTAAGATCATGACTTGGATCTTGCTGGCCAGCTCTCTCCACTGCCTTCTGGTTTGCACCTTTTGATGAGGGAAGTTGCCATGTTAGAGAGGCCATGTGGCATAAACCCCAGGCTGGCCTCCAGCTAACCTCCAGCCATCCTCGAGGCTCTCAGCCCTATTGTCAACCCTGGAGGACCATCACCTGAGGTGGAAAGCAAGTGGCGTGTGCAGATGAGACCACAGCCCTGGACGACATCCTCACCATAACCTCTTGAGGGGCCCAGAAGCAGAAGACCTAGCTCAGAAGTACACAGGCTCCTGACTCACAGCAACTGGGAGTGATGAATGTGCATTTACTAAAGACATTAAGGCTTGGGGTAACTTGTTGCATAATAGTACATAGCTTAAACTAACATCATGCCCAACTGGGAAACTGCGTTGGCTGTGGGTCTCAGTAAGGACTAAGTGACATAATACCAGCCATGGTTAAAAAAGTACTCTGCCAAAGCATTACACACATTATTCTCTCCATCCTGAGTCTGTCTTAGAGGGAGGAACACTGTTATCCCTTCCCCACACGTGGGGAAATCAGGTGCAAAGTCACATAGCTCATCTTCCTGGGATTTGAATGTTTTCCTACCTCCCAATATCACCTTCTAACCCCTGTGCCACACTACTATGGAAAGAACCAAATCAACTCTCTTCCTGCATGGAATATAGTTAAATTAAAACAAAGTCCAGAAGAGGATACATATTCATGGATTGAAAAAGATCAGAATATACCTGAATATACCTTTTTTGATTGTTACTTTTTGATTGCTATTCATTTTTTGATTGCTATTTATTTATTTATTTGGGTTGTGCTCCATAGAGTTACCTAGACAAAGCGATCCAGGAAGGAAGAGATGACTGCTCCACTTGGGTGGAATCATTCTCCAGCAGCAGAACTTCAGGTTTTTGATGCCTGGATAGGGAGGTGATTCTGACCTGGGATTGAAGAGGGACTTCTCTGCAGCAGTACATTGCCTGCAACAGGATCCAGAGCTCCTGTGGTCCTGAAAACTCACTGACTGAAGAGGAGAAGGATGATCCTGGGGGGAGGATGGTGCCCCCCAGCAGAAGCACCAAGCTCTATACTTTGGTTCCTCCTGCCCTGCACCTGCCCTCGTCTGAGGGCCTTTGTCTTCTCTTGCAACCTGCTTGATGCTGGGCTCCATTGTGGAGACAGGATTGCTTTCTCTTCCTTGAGTGACGTGGCCTGACACATATTTCATCAGATCCCTGACACACAACCCTCAGGTTTTGGGTTTTGGGAATGAATGACTGGTGTTCCTTTATTGAATACCTGCCTCCAGCCTGGATCCTGTGCTCAGTGTCCTTGGTGCAACTCCAGGAAGACCACACACATGTCCTTGCAGACAGTGGACTGGATACATAAGAGTGGTGACCTTTCAAGGCCATCTAGCTGGAATTGACTGCAGGTTCCCTCTGCTGGGGGTTTTGAAGGCACTATGGCTGTGACAGGACTGAATAACATTTGTTTCTTAGATGGTTGGTGGGACCTAGGGTTGAGACCCAGGCCAGGGAAGCCCCACAGATCTGGAGAGGGACAAAGCTGGCTCAAGTTCCAGCTTCACTCTTACCAGCCCTGTAGCCGTGGACCTGGCCTCTGAGGGCTCTCCTACTCCAAACCTCTGTGTCTTCCTCCAGATAAGGGTGAGGGAATTAAGTCTGCTGTGGCAATAGGATGTTCTGTCGATGAAAGAAGACAATGAGGTCATAATGCCTGATGTGTAGTAAATGTTCAATAATTATCACTACTAATACTAATTCCTAAATATTTATGATTAAAA